TGGAGACCAGGTGGGCGGGGCCGCGGGGAGCTGGAGACCAGGTGGGCTGGGGCGGGTGAGGGGGGGCGCATCACGCCCCCCAGCCTCAGTGTCCCCCACCACCAACAGGGCCACCCCTTTCCCAGGCTCATCTACAGGAGAGGGGGTGCCTGATGGGGCGGCAGGGGCAAAGTGTTCTCCAGACTCCTCCAGGCTGGGCCATCACCCCACACCCACACACCTGCCCCGACGTCCTGCCCCAGGCGCACTCCCCACCCCTCCGGGGCAGATCTACCACCCTGGGCCCAGCAGAGATGGGTGCCATGAGCCGTGCGTGCACACGCACACACACTCTTCACCCTGGGTGTCAGGGTATGGACCAAGAACACCACCGCACCCCCAGCCCTGAAGCAGGACCCACGAACCCCCTGGCCCTGCAGGGGCTCCTGGGCTGCGAGGGAGCTGCAGGTCATCACCCCGCCCATTGTGCCCCTCCATCTTGCCCTGAAGTGACCTCACACTCTCTGCCCTCTGGTTTCCGTACCTCAGTCAAGGGCGCCTGGAGCAGCTGGAGGAGAAGGTCTCAGGGCTCAAGAAGGAGCTGGTGTCCGCCCAGGAGGCGCTGAACTCGGCCCGGCTGCAGAGGGACGTTCTGGAGAGCGAGAGGGAGGGTCTGCACAGAGCCCTGGCCCGGGTACACTTCCATGCCTGGCCCTCTGCCACCATCTGCTGGGGCCCACCTGCCCCCACTCACTTGTCTCCTCCTGCTCCTGCGCCCTCAGTCCCTCCCCAGAGTTCCCAAAGCCACCCGGGGTGGGGGGTGGGGCTCCTGGGCCTCCAGGCAGTGGGCACCGGCCTACCCTCCCTGACCCCTAGCCACACCCGCCTCTCTGTGCCCTCTCCCTTGGTCACCCTGCCACCTCTCCTGGATGCAGCCTGACTACCCAGGGGCCCATCGTGTGTCTCAGAGGCCCCCCCACCCTGCCCCACCCAGAGCTTCGGCTCGCATGCCTCCCTCCACAACGCGGGGCTCGCTCCCTCCCCAGCGCCGATAGCTCTGACGTCGTCGGGGTGACAGCCGCCTTCCCCCCCACCCCACCCCCACCCCGCCCTAGGCCGAGTCCAGCAACACTGACCTGGAGCTGCTGGTGACCCGGCTGAAGTCGGAGGGTGTGGAGCAAAGGGACTCCCTGGCCAAGATGGCTGCCCTGACGGAGGGGCTGGCTGGGGACAAAGGCGCCCTGGGCCACCAGGTCCTGCAGGTGAGGCGAGGGGCCCGGGCTGGCCGTGTGGCTGAGCCCAGGTCCCCCTGGCGACCCCGCGTCTCCACTCCTCCATTCCTGCGCGGAGAGCAGGGTGTGGGGGAGAGGCCCAGGGGCACAGGGGTGCCTGCCAGGCCCGCGGGACTGAAGGTGCGCGTGGCGCGTGGCGCACGGGCCTGGACGCGGACCCCTCCCTGTCCCCACCCGCGGCAGCTGGAGCAGGCGCGGGAGCAGCTGCGGGAGCGGCAGAAGGCTCTGGAGCAGGAGCGGGCGGGTGCCCTGGAGCGGCTGGCGCGGGCGGAGCAGCAGCTGGGGCCGGTGCAGCAGGCCTGCGGGCGCCTGGAGGAGCGGCTGCAGGGGCGGGAGGCCGCCTTCGAGCACCAGAGGGCCCGGCTGCAGGAGCAGGTGGGCCAGGTGAGGCGTCCGCGGGGCTGCCCCTGCCCCTCTGGGGTGTGGAGGGTCACGGGGCACCTTCAGAAGTCCGGCGGCGGGCTCGGGGCACCAGGGACTTCCGGCTGCAAAGCTAACAGACTTGGCTAGACTCAAAGCCGGCGTCGAAGAGGGCTCCCCGGAGGTGGTGGCAGCGGTGGCGGA